GAGTCACTTGGAGGAAATAACCACCCCAACACATACTCCGCTTTTCCTTCCTCGTATGCAAAGACTTCGTATTTGTCTGCCTCCTGCCCGTGTGTCAGGGGTGTGAAGAGACGCTGGAGTTTTCCAGGTGAGACAGTGCACCTGGCAGTGCTTTATGAATGCCAAAGCTCCACGCAGATGCTGGATCGATTATTATTTCTCGACAGGAATGGCTTTGCAAGGCGAACCACGGGAAGATCATGGGGTGGGGGCGGGAGAGGAGGGCTTAACCTCTGCTCTTCCTCTAACCGGTTTGGTGACCTTCTGGTGGCCTCTGTGCCCCATCTGCCAAGGGAGGCACTGTTGTGGGGGTGTCCTTCCAGCGCAGCCTGCAGTGGCCGTGGGGCAGAGGCTGGCAGCGGAGTCCAGGCACATTGCCAGGCTGGGAGCTCGTGCTGTGGGGTTGATTTTTGGAAGCTACGCGGGACCAAGTCCAAATGACCATCCCACTGGATGAATAGAACATTGACTTCCCTCCTCCCTCGATTTCAGAGCAGGGGCTGGTTCCACACTGTCCTGTGTGGGAAACATGGGAAAGCCTTCACCTGCCAAATCTCCTCCTCCAGGGGCCTCTTTACGCCACGTGGCTCCTTGGGAGCCTGGACTCAGACCCCGGCCCTGCTGCTCACTAATGTGTGACCTTGGGCAAGTGACAACTTCCACACCCCAGTGCGGTATCCTATAAACAGGGATGATGTGAGCACCTTGCTCCTGGCTGTGGAGGGGAGATGTGTTCACAGCCCTAGCCCAGCACCTGGTGGGCAGCAGGCACCGAATGCTGTTAGCCATCATCACCGCGGTTGTTACCAGCATTGCGGTGGCAGCAGTACTGGCACCGCCGCGAGTGGTACTGGTGTGTTGGCTGCAGCAGCAGTCATAGGGGCTGCTGCATGCATCCTTGGCTTATGTTCTGTCCTCCCAGTCTGGAGAAGGGGCATGAGGAAGTCGGATGTTAAGGAGGAAGGCCCAGGGAATTTGGCAGGGTGCAGGGACAGGAGCCTCACCCGAGAGCAGCAGGCAGCTGTTCCCACAGGCTCCTCACACCGCCTGACCCCTGCCAGTCAGCAGAGAGGCGGCAGGGACTGTCTGTCGCTGAACATCCCCATGGTGTCCCAGGCTAGCCTGTCAGTGCACCCGGCTACACCCTGGCTCCCCTCCCTGCTCAGGATCCACAGGACCCCAGCTTCAGCCTGGCGCTGGGGGCTTCCACATACCTCTTGGTGGGCTTTGCTGGAGTTGCTGTCAGCTTCTCAAATTCATCCTTCTCAGAGAACATCACCACGTTGTCTGCAGGGAAATGGGGAGGTTGGGGAGACAGGAGTTAGAATTGGCTCATGGCTCTGCACTCAGCTCAAGCCTGTTCTTCCTGTTGGGCAGAGCTGCCCGGTGTCTGCGTGGCACCACCCCGCGGTAAGCACAGCATGGTTCAGCATGCGAGAGCAGAAGCAGCGAGTAGGCCGCTGCCGGGGGCGCCCTCCACCCAGAGACGGGCACCACGCACGTGGGGTGTGGAAGCCCCGGTTCACAGACCTGGGGTCTCTTTCTTCTCCTCGTCCTTGCTCACTTGGGCCTCCACACTCTTCCCCGGGTGGCTGGTGCAACAGGCTGGGGAGAGAGGAGGGAGTGAGCAGCCAGGCTCTCCGACAGGGGGAGTTGACGGAGAGTCCAGGAGGCAGGGCACCGGCGCATGGGGGCCGTCACCTGGGGCAGAGGGCTTTGTCTTCAGGATGTAGAACATGATGATGAGGACGATGGCGATGGCCATGATGAAGATGGTGGACATTGCAATGATCAGGGCAGTGGCCAGGTGTCCTTGGCCTGAGAGTTCTGTGGGTGGAGAGAAGACATGAGTGACCCAGAGCTCAGGGTTCCTGCTGCTCTTCCCTCCAGGACTACGGCCCCTGGAAGCAATGTGCCTGCCCCTGGGATGCTTTCAGGGAACCCTGAAATCTGAGGCGCTTGCTTAGGCTGAGAACCAAGTCCTCCGCGTTGGTTTTGGCTGCCAGACCAGGACTGCCCACAGCCCTGCTCGCTGCCCTCAGACTGGCCTCTCCAGACTTCTCTGGGGTCATCTGGTTGTTCCTAGGGAGTTTGCTCTTGCTTCTACTACTTTGGGAACCTGAGGGCAGGGTTTGGTGTGGAGAGGAAGAAAGGCCAGTGAACAAGAGTGTCTGGAAGGCAGCACAGTTCAAGTTTGGGTATTTCCAAACAAAAGTCAGGATTCCTCTCTCCTTCTGAGCTTTCATCCGAGCATCACCTAACTCCAGGATCAGCTCTGGATTCCGGGTTTGGCTCCATCCTGCACCTCATGCAATTTCAACCTAAGTGTCATTGTAAGAGCTCCAGGGCACAGGTGGTGCCTGGGCGGGGCCACCTAGTCCACCTGCTCTGCCGCCTCCACCAGGCAGTCCCTCAGTCACCCCGGGGGATTTTGCTCACTTCCCAGGTTAATGTCGACCTTGGATTGCATAAAATGCCCTGAAGCTCGTTCTCATTCTCTAAAATAACCAAACAGGACTCTGATTCTCTTGAAGTAAGATCCAGATTTGCCACCACCCAAATAGACAGGAGACAAGCATCTGAAGCTCTCGGATCATCTCGGGGGAGGTAGTGCCAGAGCTGAAAACCCCGCATGTGGGCGCTGAGCCTCCCCTGTGGTTGCATCTGCAGGAAAACCAGCCTCCCAGCATCATCTGAGGAATACCTGTAATAGCATTTGCTTGCCAGGTCTAGATGACATAAGTGTTTTAATATTCTCCATGTTGTGAGCTCCTCCCCCCGGGGCCTGTGCAAATGAGATTCATATATCCTCGCCCAGCAGTCCTGCCTTTTGCTCTGCGTTAGCGTGTGAGAGGTCCAGTGATGAGGCTGACGAGCTGGGTGCTCTGAGGGAGCTGGAAGGTACCTCATGGCTCACTGAGACCCGGACCCGAAACATGTTTCAATAACGGGCTGGCACTAAACCAGTGAGAGGGAAAGGCCAAGCCAGCTGGAGGGCTGACTCTGAGAGACATATTGAACTTTGGGGTCATCCTAAATCCCTTCTTCCCTGGTTAGGGAGAATGAAATGTGCTTTCTGCAAGTGAATATTAAAGTGCCATGGTCAGCAGGTTTATATGAAAGCCAGTGATAGAACTGCTGTTGACTCCCAGCCAAACCAAAGCCCAGGACGCCTAGTCTCTCCTCCTGGCCCGGCTTGCAGCTGCCTGTGCTGCCCACCTGCCGCTCTGCCCCCGCCTTCATCACCAGCACCTCCCATCGGGCCCAGGACACCCATGGAGGGATCAACTCCGCTCCTTGCAGAGATAATGACTTCCTGCACGGGATGAGGGGGGCACCATGTCATTCAGTTACATTAGGGAGGTGAGACCAGGTGGGGAAGCGCACCGTAATCATTACTCATAATCATTTCCTCTCTTCTTCCGAGCTTTCATCCAAGCACCACCTAACTCCAGGTGATCGATACCCGAGCACCCTTCTCACCTTTGTGGGCATGCTGGAAGGGAGACAGGGTGCTGCTGCCCGAGGTGCCAGGGAAGTTGGCAGAAGCTCCTGAAGTGGCTCCCACACCTGCAAGGAAAATAGAGTCCCTCAAATGATCCAGAGAAGCTCCACCTTCAAAAACGCTGCCACAGGCCGGGCGCGGTGGCTCAAGCCTGTAATCCCAGCACTTTGGGAGGCCGAGA